CTTTCAAAAGGATGGTTTAAAAACATCCCCATGACATGTAGCAGTCTCTTCTGTGCTTGGCTTTCAAGCCTCTCTTCCTATTTCTCCTTAAGTTGGACTCAACACAAGGAGACAAATGGGGCTGTAGCCTCAGCTGAGCCTCAGGACAGTGGAGCTGATGAGCTGCTTTGCACTGGTTTATTGATATAGGGAGGTGATTATAGACAATTGAATTTAAAGCTGAATTTGGCGTTCTGGACTAATGGAGCTGTGGAAGAAAAGCGTAATGAAAACAAGATTGTTTTCTGGTCATCATCACGGCTCCTCTGGAACTCTAAGTACAAAACAGGGAAATCTCCAATGCAACAAGATGTTTCCAGTGTCTAAAGGATTAAATAAAATAGACAAACCCCCTCCTGGCTGACAGGGAGGCATGAAGCCCCTCATCTGCATGGGATCAGCTGTATTTCCCAGGTTTCTGTGGAACATTAGACATCTTGCTGTGGAACTCTCACACATTTCTTTGCTTTACTGCTGTGCCGGAACCTGAGCGAGACTGCTGCTTCCTGGGGATTTCTCAGGAGCACATCCCACAGTTACAACTCAGCGATCCAACATCAGAAACCTGCTTTGTGTGGGCCAGGGCCAGCTGCAGAGGCAGCCAGGGGCATTTCATTGCCATGGCCACCACCACTCCTATTTTGGACTCTGTACTCCAATTCCCTCCCGTTGCTGCTTCCCCAAAGCCTCCCCACTCACGTCAGCAGCGCTGGTGTGTGGGCTGTTGTTCCAACACACAGGTAGCTGAAGCAAAGCTGTGCTGGAAAAGCTCTTCAGCTGCAGCTTGGGTGCAGTACAGAAATATCCTCTTATTTGAAATTCCCCTGCAAATCCCTTTGGCTCCTATTCCTTCACAACAATTACAGCTCGTTTGCTGTAATGTGGCCTCAGAAACCTGTGGGAGTAACTGGACTTGTCAGAGCCTCAGGAAAATGATGGGCTCACAGTTTCCCTGGAAGCTCCCTAAAAACCACCTCAGCTGAACCAGGGGCTGGATATCCTCCAGTGGAGGAGCTGAGACAACACTTAACTCCCTCTCATCCAAGGACCAAGTGGACACAGGCAGTGCAGTTACAGCTCAGATAATGACAGTGATCACCCTGGGAAGAAAACGAGCAGTGGGAGCAACCCCCAGATACAAGACAGGGCAGTGAGGCTTCACTCCGGCTGCTCTCGGGCAGATTTTATTCCCAGACAGAGCCATGAGGACTCCTGGGCTCCTGTGAGTGTCTTCTTCAGTGTCACCAGGGGTTTGCAGAGTGGCCAGGCCCTGTGACAGCACTGCTGGTGGGCACTCACTGATCAGTTTGCCTCTGTGGCCGAGGAGTTTAATTGCATTTCCATAGCAAATGGAATGGGAGAACAGGCAGCCACATTTGCTACCTCTGAGCATCTCCTTTGGCTTTGCTACCTCTGGATTACTCCCCTCGCCTCAAATTCCAGTATGAACCAAAAACTGAACATGCTGGGCACTTCCAAGGGCCCCTCAGATGAAGGCAGTCAGTTCCCCAGCCCCACACCAAGGCAAAGGAAAAATGTGTGAAAACCCAGGCTTCATATAAGCTTCCCATTAGCCACTCATCCATTTGCAAAGCTGGAACACAGAGCTGGGGCTTTAAGACTGCAGAAACAAAAACCTGAGCATGTGTTGGCTGATTTCAGGTCCCAGTAGGAATGCCTGGGCCACGTTTTGATGAGCTCTGAGTTTCCAGAGGAAGATCAGCCTGGTACACAAGCACAGCAAAGGGGTTCAGCTGGAAATAAGGAATTACAAGGCCCCTGGGAGCTTGGGAGCTGGGTGGAACATGGAGGCAGCAGTAAGAGCTGGGCTGAGCTCTGGTGGCACATTTAGGTGGCAGACTGTGCACTCAGGAGCCCATTATGCCAAACACATAGGGGTGCACAGTGAGGGGTGGCTCAGAGATCAGTGGAGGCCACACAAGGTTTATTTGCAACACCTTCAGAGGATGATAATGAAGGCACTGCAGTGCATGGGGTAATTAAAAGCCACTGTTCTATTACTGCCAATACTCCAGTTACACCCCACTGTGGTGATGTCCTGCCCAAAATGAGGCTTTAGGCTGGGTTTGTACCCAGCACAGGCAGAACACAGCCCGGTGAGCAGCTGTGAGACAGCTGGAGCTGTGCGGGACTGATGGATGGCACAGGGGTGGGATCCTCTGCCCCTCTCACCGTTTCCTCCCTGGTCCCCACTCCTCCTTCTCCAGCGCTGCTGTCCCGGGGCTGCAGCTCCAACAGCGTTCGCAGGAGCTGCTCCGAGCTCCGCGTCAGGAAACCCAGCTCGGCGTTGGGGTGGAGCCCATACAGGTATGGAGACTCGGGGGGCAGGACTTCATCGATGTACTGCAGAGAGACAGTCAGGGCAGGCTGACACACCGGCACAGCCAGGGCCGGGTTAGATACACAGTCAGCCACGGGCGGAGAAGAGAAATGGTCAGGTACGGGTTAAATACAGACACATTCAGGTTCATGGGAGATAGAGAGACGTTCAGGTTCAGGTTGGATACAGAGCCCAGGGCACTGCAATCATCCCCCCCAGCTCAGCACAGGCTGAGCAGCTCTGCTTGGGGCTGAAACACCAGTGAACTGATGGAGGAAGGAGAGTATGTTTGTTTACAGAACTGCTTCTACTCCTGCTGGGAAAATTCAGTAATTGCTAAAGTTTGGCTTGGCTCTGTATCTCAGGCCGGACCTTCTCTGGCAATTATCTGCTGTGCATTTCAGCATCAGCATCCCAAGATCTCTTGTGGGAATTTAGCTTCCCGTAGTTAAGTTTTATGAACAAACCCAGCCTAATACGGCTCTCTCTGCTACTGCATTTGTGTACAAAGAACAGATGAGATCAGTAGGTAGATCAACAAGACCCTTCAGTGATTCTCATCAAAACTGATGATAAAAGGAGCTTGAAGGGGCCATTTTAGCAAACAGTATGTGGATGTAATTTTCCAGGAGCCCTGCTCAAGTCTCAAGCACCAATACAGTTGCTCTATTCATGCATGAACAGAATGAGCCCATGATGAAGTAGCAAATTACCATTAGACTGGGTCATCTGAGGAAATGCTGAAACATCCACAGAAACAGAACATAATGGGAAATAACAAAAGGTGTGCAGGAACACTGCAGCCCTGTTCCTGCCTCCTAAGGCAGATTATAGAGCAGTTATGGAACACATTACATTTAGGTGTGTAAATAATGCCAGAAAACAAAGAGCTTACCTGGTGATAGCCATTGTAGTCCATGTTCCCTGGCAGGGGGAATCCTGGAGCAAGGAGGAGTTCTCCCTCCAGCATTTCTGGCTTAATAAATTCTTCCAAATAGGTTTTGCAAAGCCTCCTGTCCCAGTCATCTGTGATGTGACCTCCATACATGATCTCACCCACGAGGTAGCGCAGGTCATCATAGGGGACCTGAGGATGAGCAGGGAGGGCAGGAAGGACAGATAGATTCTCACTGCAGGAAACGTGGAGGAGGTCAGAGAGCCAGAGCTCCAGAGGCCGGTGCTGGGCTGCAGGTTCCACCACTGACCTGCACACTCAGTGCTTCCACCTCACTGCTTCAGTTCTCTCAGTAACCAAACATCAGGGAGTAGTTAAACTCTGCCCGAGGAGAACCAGATCACAGCAGAGATTAACTGCACTGAAATGCAAATTTACTCGAAGCTCTGTTAAACCAAAGATCACTGTTCTTTTCAAGGCATAAACACCACAGGCACTGTTGGCTGTGATTTCTGAGCATCTACAGGTGTGAGTGGCGCTGAGGCCTCTCATCTCCCCCCTAAGGCACAACAAACCCGAAGATCCCAAGGAAATGGTATTTCAGGAGATTTCCCAGGAGTTTCAGCACAAGCCACGTCCCTGTTGGTTAAAAGCCCCCCCTGAAGCACCCACCTTGGAGCTGTCCTGCAGGTAGTTGTGCAGCACACTCACAGAGATGGTCAGGTCCCCGCTGTTGAAGGGGTACGGGCAGTTCCAGCCCTGGGGGCCGAACCTGCGCCTCTCTGCCACCACGGCGTGGAAATAGCACAGGGCAAACAGGATGCTCTTGAACTCCTTCTCGTGGCTGCACATCTCCAGGGTGTCCTGCAATAAATACAGGCAGAGCCACTGCTCTCAGCCTCGGGGCCTCCAAATACACCCAGCTTTGGACAGGGATGAATCACAGAATTATTAAGATCAGAAAAGGACTCCAAGATCAAGTCCAACCTTTGACCAACACCCCCATGCCCACTAAACCATATCATGAAGTGCCACTACTTGAAGACTCTCAGGGATGGTGACTCCACCACCTCCCTGTCCAGCTTGTTCTAAACTTTAACCACTCTTCCAGTGAAGAAATTTTTCCCAGTATCCAACCTGAACCTCCCCTGGTACAGCTTGTTGTCATTTCCCCTGGTCCAATGGCTTCCTGCCTGGGAGAAGAGGCCAATCAATTTGTTCTCCAGTTCATATTTGCATAATACACACATGTGCTAATTTTTAAAGTCAGTCGATCTGCATTGCAAATTTATTGGCAAATTCTAATGAATATTTTTGGAATTAGTATTTACTATTTCCAGCTCAGACTGGCTTTGTACAGGAACACATATTAACTGTTAAGAAGGGAAGGACACGTGCACCCACTCCATGTCCCATCACCTGCATGTGCTCAATATCCCTCACCAGAGAGATGGAGAGAGAAACCCAGAATCCTGGAGTGGTTTGGGTTGGAAAAAACCTTTAAAGCTCATCTCATTCCAACCCCCCTGCCATGGGCAGAGACACCTTCCACTAGACCAGGTTGCTCCAAGCCCCATCCAACCTGGCCTTGGACACTGGCCTCCCCACCCTCACAGGGAAGAATTTCTTCCCAATATCCCATCTAACCCTGCCCCCTGGCACTTTGGAGCCAGCCCCCCTTGTTCCATCACTGCATGCCCTTGCAAAAAGTCCCCCTCCAGCTCTCTTGGAGACCCTTCAGGAGCTGGAAGGCCACAATTAAGTCACCCTGGAGCCTTCTCTTCTCCAGGTCGAGCAATCCCAATCTTCTCAGCCTTTCCTCACAGCAGAGCTGCCCAGCCAGATGCAGGAGCATCTTGGTGCCTCCTCTGAACTCACTTGAAGAGTTCTGTGCCATCACACCAGGCAAAGGTGCCAGCACTGGGACTGGGACTGTGGCACCTTGCCCAGGAGGTGGAGGGGCAGGAGCCTGAGTCATTTAATCACTGAAAATGAACACGGGAACTGGGCTCCAAAGAGCTCTGCCTGGCACTGGGAGTGGGCACAAGGGGAAGCTGGGCAGCCCTGCCTGTTCCCAGCAGTGGGAGCAGAGAAAATGAGGGGATGAAGGGCTGGAGCAGAAGGGATGAGTGGCAGGAGGCTGAAGCTGAGCTCCCATGGGATGCTGGACCCCCTTTCTGTGGCTGAAGCCAGGAGGAGGCTTGCACAGCTCTGGCCCAGTGTCTGCCCAGGAACCTGGTGGGGTCTCCCACAGCCAACAGGACAGATCTCCCCAGACCTGGGAGATGAACACGTTGGGAAAGGTTTGCCTGCAAACCCTCCCTGGGAACAGCATATCCAGGGCATGGGGGCTCTGACCTGCACAGCCAAGCAAGTGGGGGAGTAAGGAGGGAGTAGCTACACCAGCTCCTCCGTCCTCCCCCTCCAGGGACAGCCCCTTGAAGTCCTCTCTGCTGTGTGACAAAGGTGATAAAGGGCATCTGTGTGACTTCCCTGCATTATCTTTATCTTAAAAAAACTGCAGTGTTAGACCTCTAATCATCTGGGAGCACAGCAGAGCTCAGGGGCTGTGCTGAAATCCATCACTCCAAAGGGTGCAAGACACTGACCCACTGCATAAGATGGTCAAGAACATCCCAAACCCTGTTTTCCCCTTGATTAGGAATCACTCTGAGTTCCCTTCATTATACCTGATATATATTATACCACCATATACCTGCTGAAGAACTGCTTCAAATATGTGCAGAGCACTTTCTCATTTTAGGAACCATCCCCAGGCATGAAGGGGAACCTGCCTGAGAGAACACTGAGAATCCAGTTCAGTCTCTTTTGGCCCCTCTTTAGTTGTGTATTTTTCTTCAGCTACAAAGCAGAACAATATCCCCCACATAGAATAAAGGGGCTCCTTGGCAGCTTGTAGCTGAAAGCTAAATTTGAACATCCACTTGTATAAAGCAGGGAAATGAGGTGTGAAAGGGACCCCACCCACTGGCTCCAGGATTTCTGATAAGAGATGTTTTATAATACTCCAGCAATTAAGAAAATGCTCATTGCTATCTGATCAAAATGAGCAGAGGAAGGATGAAAATGTAATTTGGGTGAAGGTTCTCCCCTTCCTAGTTCTGTGGGACATTTTGTGGAGTTCAAGATGACCAATGTCAGTAGATAAAAATGTAATAATCTCTCCTGACTATGGACATTAATCCTGGCATGGTGCCTCTCCATGCCCTGCTCAGCACTGGTAGCTCCTGCTCTTGAGATTCCCTCCACTCCAAGGTTTAAGTGCAAGATCAGCTGGGAGCTGCCCCCATTTCCCTGCCCATGGACCAGGGCCTGGGGTCCACAATAAACTGGGGTGTTCTTGCCTGGTCCCAAAAGACAAGAGGCTGCGTGGAGAGAATCATTAGAATCAAAGAATGGTTTGAGTCAGAAGGGACCTTACAGATCATCCTATTCCAACCCCCTGCCATGGGCAGGGACACCTTCCCCCAGCCCAGGTTGCTCCAAGCCCCGTCCAACCTGGCCTTGGACACTTCCAGGGATGGGGCAGCCACAGCTTCTCTGGGCAACCTGTGCCAGGGCCTGCCCACCCTCACAGGGAAGAGTTTCTTCCCAATAGCCAATCTAGATCCACCCTCCTTCAATTTAAAACCATTCTCCTTTGTCCTGTCCCTCCAGGCCCTTGTTCCAAGTCCCTCTCCAGCTCTTCTGGAGCCCCTTTAGGCACTGGAACGGGCTCTTGGTCTCCCTGGAGCCTTCTCTTCTCCAGGCTGAACACCTCCAGCTCCTTCAACCTGTCTCCTTGGCAGAGGTGCTCCAGCCCTGTGATCAATTTAGTGCCTTCTCTGGACTCATTCCAGCTGTGTTGGACTCAGCACTGCAGGTGGGGTTACAGAAGAGCAGAGAGAAGACTTCTCACCATCCTGCCAGACCTGCCCAGTGTGTTCCTGCCACAGCCATCAGCAGAATGAAGATGCTATAAGAACTTCAGCACTACTGTTTCAAAAAGGCAGTTCAAGGGTTGAGAGCACCTTCAGACCCTACTGGTTGCTCGGGGTTCAGCAGATGGGGTCCTGCTGTGAGAGCTGCGTGTGCCAAGGCAAGGGCAATGTGTGAGTGAGGGCAATGAGTGTTCAGGGCAGCAGGAGGCTGTGTCTGTGTCTCCAGGACAGAAATCATCAGCAGTGTGAATGCTCAGCTCTCAGCCTTTGTGTC